TTTTCAGCTTTGCCGTAAAGATTTTTTTTTTATTTATATATATGTGTGTATATATCTAAAACTTTTATATATATGACAAATATATATATTAGAAACTTGCTTTGGGCCACAGTAGTATACTGGCTAGGCTAGGCTTCCCAATAAGCAGTTTAGTCATTTTAACTATTGACATGTTTGTCACAAGAAGGAAGAGAGGAAATACTATAAATTAATTGAAGGCTCCTAATGTTTGATATTTGTAGTAAGGACAGATTCCATAGAGTTCTTTCACTTACTCTTTGAAATAAATGAAACCAATTGCTGTTTAAAAATAATAATCATAATAGAGCGTCTCTGTGCTGTAGTGCTTTTGTAATGTGTTGAGATTTGTAAGGAAATTAAGTTTTTTAAAAAAGGGGGGGGGGAGCGCACGGGTAAGGAGGGAGAGACCTCTGTTAGTGTAAAAGAAGCTTGTCCATTGCAAAAAAAGTCTTGTTAACACTTCTTCAGTGAGCCTGGCTCCTCAGAGGAAACGTATAGAAAACTGTCTTTGTGCAAGCTCCCCTAGGCTGTGTAAGAACCAGTCTTTCAGTAAGAAGGCTGCTTTATATATATATATATTATTATTTTATACATAATACATATTTGTAAAGAATAGAACTTCTCTTTAGGGCAATGTATATAATTGCAACTAAAGGTCTTCATTATATTATTGCATCTTTTTCTGAAATGACAACAGTAATTTTTTCAGCTTTGCCGTAAAGATTTTTTTTTTATTTATATATATGTGTGTATATATCTAAAACTTTTATATATATGACAAATATATATATTAGAAACTTGCTTTGGGCCACAGTAGTATACTGGCTAGGCTAGGCTTCCCAATAAGCAGTTTAGTCATTTTAACTATTGACATGTTTGTCACAAGAAGGAAGAGAGGAAATACTATAAATTAATTGAAGGCTCCTAATGTTTGATATTTGTAGTAAGGACAGATTCCATAGAGTTCTTTCACTTACTCTTTGAAATAAATGAAACCAATTGCTGTTTAAAAATAATAATCATAATAGAGCGTCTCTGTGCTGTAGTGCTTTTGTAATGTGTTGAGATTTACTGTGGTCTTCTCATTCCAGTGAGGTATTTTAAAGCAATTCTGCAGTAAGTATGGAAATACTTTAGAAGAAATATTAGACCTCAGGAGGCTCAGCATTTTTATTACATTTATTCAGCTCATCATGAAGGGAGATCCAGTGCCAATTTCTGAAATCCAGAAAAATATGTCATAATATTACTTTTGAGTTTTGGTATTGATTCAAACCAATTACCTGTGTGCCTAGGTATTTTGAAAGAAACAATGGCTGCAATGCAAGGGAATCATAACATTTGGTGGGGAGGGGGAGGAAATCAACCAAATAATACCAAAGTAGCTTCTATTTTACTTGTTTTCCTCAAGACTTCTTCCTCTCCATATTACCTCTGAGTTCCTGAAGATGGCTTTTTTTACACTTGCATTACCGATTAACATTCTATACAAATCTTAAAACCAACCAAAAAAAAAAAAAACGCTCAAAAATAAAAGAGGTGGTTTACGTTGTCTCACTGATATCTAGACACACACTGTTTCCTGCAGAAGGTGACTAGGTGTGTATGTGGGGTGGTAAGCCCGCTGTTTCTTTACAGCTATTTTGAGCTCTGCTGAGGATCTGTGAGAAAAGCTGAAAAGACTACGTAGATAAGATCATGAGGAGTAGATGCAGTTTGTCCTCCTTGCTCTAGGTGAACTTGGGCACCCGATTCTTTTCTATCATCCTCTTTGCACAGGGCTCTGGGGGAAACTTCAAATTCTGAAAGGTCTGAACTTCTGTGCCTATGCATCATGTAATTGTATAGGAATAAACAAGACTTCCCCTGCAGTTTCTGATTCTGATTGCCCCAGGTGGTATTAGGTTTAGCAATGGGAACTGGGAAGTGTACTTCTGTTGTGCTGCCTGTTGTTTTGTCAGGTGATGCTGTGGTAATGTAGCATTAAATGCAGAGCAGATGAGAGGAGAGCTGGGCAAGCCTTGTGACTCCAGGACTAGGGATCTCAACAGAAGACCCAGTCTGGGTTTTCACCTGTGGCGAGGAAGGGGATCAATAGCAGAGCAGCAGGTGGGCTATCTGGACAAGAAGGCTCATGGTAAGGAATGGGAGGTAAGGAAGAGGAATTACCAAGCTGTCAGGATTTAAAAGGAGAATTGGGATATTAACACCTCTCTCCCTCCGTCCTTGAACTTATGGATAAGAAGTCAGAGGGGGAAAATCGGCAGGATAGGGGCAGGGAACAGTTTAGCTGCAAGACCAGGACCTGGCCTTGGTTTTGAAGTGAGGCAGAGACTGACTGTCCTTGCATGAGGGAGTAACAGTACTAGGAAAGAAATAGGAGTAGGGTGTGAGGGAGCAGGAGGGAGGGGGCTCTGCCTGCCAGAGCACAACCTTCTCTTCATTGCTGGAGATGACTGTCAGCTGATTTCTTTAGAATCTGCTGATACAGTCCTCTTCTTCAGTCCTGTTCTACCCACAGGGTTATAGACTGCATCTGTTGACTGCTTGCTTCTCTAGCCTCGTGTTGCGTTCGTGTGAAAGGTTCCAGTATCTTACATACAGGCTTAGAAGAGCATCCACATGATACTATCTAACTTAATTCCTTTTTCGTCAGTTTGTTGTTTGCAAAAACCCTGGGAAAGTAATGTTTTATTAAAAACATCATGTAACTTTTAATGTTGCGAAGTCAACCAGTCAAGAAATACGAGTTTTGCCAGTTAAAAACAGAAAACCAAACTACCTTAGTTCCAGACATAAGTTGTGTGTGTTAGCATGGGCATCTACCAGACTTCCTTCATGTACTGGACAGGGCTCACATACTGCAACTTACTATTTTCTTGCTTGTTCAACAGGAATCTGCACCTCTTATTAATTGCATGCCATTCAAAGGTAGTCTCAAAAATTCTCTAAAAATATTAATAGTTCTGTGATGTTCAGAGTATCTAAATGCCTCTTCCGTGTTCATGAATTTGTCTGCAAAATAGCTTTTGAGATGTGTGATAGCATTCCTATTTTAAATATGTGAAACTGAGAAACAAACATTTAAGATCAAATGTATTTATAGATTTGAGGTGGTTCTTTAGGACCTAAGTATTTCGGAGCATTGTGCAGCATTCCCTATGTTCAGGGCATGTTTCACACTGAGTTCGGGTGTGGCTGTGGGCTCTGAAGTTGAACACCCAGAAACTGAGAAGAAAAAAAGGTTACTGTGAAGTTTTACATGAGTCTGTGGTATAAGACAAGATCCTGTCCTGGGGGCAGTGTTTGATTACTTTCACCATGAGATCTTTCTTATTCCTCCCTTTCTGATTTCCATCTTCACTTTCAGCATGCATTCTAACTTCAGAACATGAAGAAAGGAACTGGTCAGTGGGAGCTTCTTTGGTCCTCATGGCAGATCTATCTAGTAACACTGAAAAACTTGGGAAGATTGTGTAGAAGCCTGATGTATGATGGTACAATGAATGCGTTCTGTATATGCAGAAGTGGCTAAAACAAAGATAGCATACTTAATTCTGGTATTTCCTGACTGCAGGTGCTTAGAAACTGCAACTTTACTGCTGTTTATTGTTAGGGATGATTTACAGCGGTTCTGGGTTTCATGGATGTCACTATTTGTGAGTAAAAATAGAAAATATACCTTGATCCAAAGTAAAAATAGGTAAGAGAAGCCTTATGAGGCTTGGCTGATATTCCATACATTTTTTTACCAACCTGAACTTTTAAAATTGTGTATGCTAAAGTGTTCTATTTGTGTACCTAAGGTTTTTGAATACTGACCTGGATTTTCTTAGAAATAAAAACATTTCTTCCTATAGGTTATTTTTGGTTCTTACCTTTGCAATGCAGATGAATTCCTATTAGAAACTGATCATAGGACACTTTACGAAGTTCCAGAATACCGAACTAATTTTTTTTACTAGGAATTTTAAGGAAGTTGTTGTGGTTTAGTAGAATAATTCAGGAGTCATGAAATGGCAGAATTACTGTGGAAGTCATTAAAAGAAACTTTTTTTGCCTGTCTTATGACTTCTGTAGGACCTGTGTACCTATGGGCTATATTTAGTAAGCATTGTAAATGTGGAGAAGTTGGTGGGAGTTAGTGTGCTTCAGGTTATACTCATCTGCTTCTTAGAGCTGCACAAAGGAAACTGCTAATAAGCCATAGGAATTTGTGATCAGTTGCATAGTAAACTAAAAGTAGGCTGCATAATGTGCATACCATATTGGTGTTTCTGTTCCAGATCTAATTAAACTGGTTTGAGTTGACTCCTAACTTCAGGTGCAAAAGAATGCTCTTCTGGAGATGCTTTTTCAATAATTTTATGTACATTTTTGTTGATCTGTTGGGATATTATTTGTTCCGTTGATGTTCTCTGCTAGTGTAGTACCCGTAAATAATGTTTTAATTTTTGCAGTTTATGTAAATGTTGATGCTTTATACAAATAGGTGCTGGGGCCTTCTCCCCATGGACTGTCTGTGCCAGTAAGTCTACTTTTGATGGGGAATAAATCCAAATATGTAATCGTAGTCTATTGCTTAGCTTAGCAATTCTAAACTTTCTAAGGAATACAATAATAACTTTCTAATAGAGGATTGAACAGGCTCATTTGAATTCTGACATAAGTGATTTGGAGTGTGTGTGTATATAGTTTCATTAAGCATTTTGAGGCCCTAATATTTTTCTGGATATACTTTTTCTTTACAGTTCAGAACTAGAGCTATACTTAAAAAAAAAAAAAAAAACGGAAGTGCAAAGAAGGTGTAGGTATTCTTGCTTTATGAGCATATGGGGAAAAAAAGGCTTTGAGAGTGGTGTTCCATATTTACATTCATGTTTTTCTCTGTCATTTTAGAAGAACAGTTTAAAAGGTTCTTAATTTTTACATAATATAATTACTGTTTTTAAATGATTGTTTCTTGCTGAACAGATAAAATCAACTCAGTTTTCAGTAACTGAATAGACATCATGTCTCGAGCACGGCAGCCCCCGCTTGTAACTGGCATCTCTCCCAATGAAGGCATCTCATGGACAAAAGTGACAATTAGAGGAGAAAATCTGGGGACTGGGCCTACAGACCTCATAGGTAAGTTGAAAAAAACTGAGACTGTAGAACGTCATATTTAAGATACGATTGAAGATTTTTTTTTTATATGGTAAAATCTATGTTGTGTGGTATGAGGAATGCCCTTTCCACAAATACGCACTTGAATCCATAAATTCAGGCATGCTGCCCAATGTGTAATTAATCAGAATGACCATACTTTGCTAGGTGAACCCTTAGCCTGACTCAACATCCTGTGCTGAACAGTAGCTAAGAATGAATGCCTATGGGAGTGCACTAGAAGAGAGTAGATGTAACGAGATGCTCTTTTGTTTCTTTCCCGTGTTTCAGCACGAAGACTTTCCAGTCAGAAGTGTTTTCAGTGTATTGAGAAAGTCACTGAGCATTGCTATTCCTTGAATTAGTGTAAAATTCAATTTGTGTGTCCACAACAGTTATGACAAAGCGGGTCCAGTGATTTAGCTGCACATTATGTGAAGAACCATTTCCTTCACTGTTTTGATTTTAACATGGTAACTTCATTTGAATTATCGTGGCTCTTGTGCTGAAAGAGGGAACAAGTGGTTTTCTCCGGTTCTCCTGACCATACAAATCCTGATCATCACTGCTCTGTTGCCTCTTTTCCGGGCTGAAAAGTCCTAGTGTAGTCAAATTTTCTGAGTGTATGTTTGACCCTTCTTGTTGCTCTTCCGTGAATCTCTTCTGGCTTCACTACCAATGATGGGTGAACAACATCTTGGTTACATGCAGTATTCAGGATGCGAATGCACTGTGGCCAAATACTGTACTCTCAATATTTGTTTTGTATTTCTTCCATAGGATTCTGTTTTCTATATAACTTCTACTAAGCATCAAGCTAATGTTTTTCGTTGTTCTGCGTATTCTAGTCCCATGATTTAATGCTTGAGGGTTAGCAGTCAGTTTGAGCCTGCTAGGTGTGAATTTAAGGTGTTGCCTGCGTGCATGATATCTTCCTTCATTGAATTTCAGCTGCTGTTTTGTAGTGTCTGCATGATAGTGCATCCACTCCTTTTCTTAAGGTCTGTTCTGTGGTTTTTTTTCTAGTTTTTATGGTCTTTACATTCTGAATAAATCGATATAATCGGCAAACTTTATAACCTCTTTATCTTGTCATTTATGAATATATTGAACATAAGCAATTCCAGCACATACCCTGTATAAACTTTCCTCAGTGAAAACACACCACTTACTGTAACCATGTTTCTATCTTTTAACAAGCTGTTTATCCGCTTGAGGATCATATCCTATAGCTGCTTAATTTTCTTAAGCCTTTTGAGAAGGACTCTATAAAATCTTCTGGAAATCCAAGTTAACTAGAACTACTGGAATTTCCCTTATTTCTTTTCTAAGTTAAGCACATGTATACTTCAGTATTCATGTTGGAGGCAATTTATCTAATTTGTTGTGGAATCGTGACTCCTCTGAAGTCCATTGGAATTTTGTTTGGCTTTGCTAGAAACAATATTTCACTTCATGGCTGTAAACCAAGATTCCCGAATTCTATTCTTGGCCACCACAATGAACTTTATGGCCAAGCATAAGCTACTACAATTTTCCCCTTTGCTTCAGTTTGCTGTCTCCTGAAGGGGAAGTAGTATTTTCCTGAGCTGCTAGACAAGATTGCGGTACATTAATGAATCTTTATTGAGAAATAAAGTGTTATAGGTGAGTATATTTCTGTGTATTTGTGTGGTTTATGTACTTCGATAAGCTCCTTAGTTCATTGGTATGATCCTCTTAGAAGTGATCAGTGCTATGTTCTTGGAAGGAAGACATCTCCTGAACTGTGCCTCAGTATTACAGCTGATTAACTGCTAAAACTACTTCTCATATTTTTTTCGGAGTAACTCTTGTAACACATAGCTGCTAATAATCTCATGCCTTGGGTAAAAATAAAAAAATAAATAATGGATTGCCTTATTTTTTTAACTTAGCTCATCTCCGCTTTCTCCAGTAAGTGACTAAGGCCTCAGACGTGTAAAGATTCCATTGTTAAATTAGGCATGTAAATATTCCCTGTGACTTGAATGGAAATACTTGCACAAGTGAGCCTTTGTAGGCATGAGGTTTAAGCAAGTTTGTAATCTGCTATTTGAGATGTATTAGAGTAAAATGGAAAGCAATAAACTGTTTTAAATATGTAAACAGAATATCACGTAATAGAAGAATATGCCTTTTCGTTTCATTTAAGAGAGCCTTCTTGTACTCTGTTTGTATCTTTGAAACTAAATAAACTTCTTATTTGTAACTCTGTAGCTCACCGGTACAAAAAGCCAAATCCAGGAGATACCTACAACATTTATGCTCTCAAGGCTTAGCTTGTCTTTTAAGACATTTGCAGTTCTATTTTGTAGGCATTGTAAAATTGTCACTGTATAAGCTTAACCAAATTTGGAAAGTCTCAATAAGATAATTACTTGTGCCTATTTATTGAAAGGCACATAAAAGCTAGAGCCCCAGTATGATGATCTCGGAGATCGTTGCACCATGCAACAGATGAAAATGAAATTTTTTTTTTAAAGGGAAGTTTTCTCTCTTTGAAGAAAAATGTTGTATGTGTACTATCAAGAGGCCTCCTTCAACATGCCTTTATTTGTTTTGGAAATTGTCTTGTGCCATTACTATACTTAGTGTGGTATATAAAATGTCAGTAGAGACTTGATTTCTTTTGCATTTTTAAGGTAGATGCGAAGGCTGTTTCCCTCCATTTTGGAAGTATCGGATATTGTGATCTTGTTCTCTTGAGAGCTTTAGGAATCTCCGATGAATAGAAAATACTTAATGATACAAGGATCTTCAAAATAGTTGTTCAAAAATGCTTACCCTACTAAATTGCTATAGCTCAGATATTGATTTTAAAGTATTACTTAATTTAAGCATGAGTTCAGACCTTTGAAATAGTAGGGTGAAAACCTCTTTATTTAATGGTTCAGACAAATTCTTTCACGTAGTCTTCATTCCTACTGCAATCTTTTTTCCTTCAGAGAAGTTGCTAGCATAAAACTAAAAGACATGTAGTAATATAATAACCTAAGGTTAAAACCCATGCATCACAAATGTTTTTTTCTTCCCCTCTGAAAAATAAAAACTGGCCTGATTAAAATGTTGCATATAAATAAGCAAAATATTTTTTTTATTCTAAGGCTTTTTCTTGTGTGTGTATCCCTCCCCCCCCTTTATTCAGGCATCTTTTAAGAAACAAATGTACTGTCCTTGCTCAAGTAAAATTGCCTTCAGTTGTAATAAGTTTCAGTGCCTTTCTGGTTTTTACTTTTTGGTTTTCATTTTCAAAATAATTTTTGGCAGGGAGTAAGGCATTTTTACATCTAACAACTATGAAAACTGCCAAATTTGTCTGCTGTGTAATGTCAGAGACTTAAATTGTGAGAAAAAGTAAGTGTGAAGCTTTGGTACTGAGCCACATAGGCTGACCCTTTTCTGTCTGTAAGTATTTTAAATTGGTCCTAGCTTTCTAGAAATTAAAAGTAAAAGCCAAGCCAACAGGGGGAATTATGCTCCAGTACAGCCAAGATGCTAGTACGGCCGTGTCCTTTTGGAAATGTTTCTAGGTAAAGGTGTTACTTAAGAAGAACCTAATGAAGTTGCTCTCCAAATTGCTACTGTAGAAATTAGGATCTTGCCAGTTCTTCAGGATGTCATAACTCTGATTAGGAATATAGGAATTGTTGTTCTAGATCTGAGAAAACAATCAATTCCAGCATCCGGAGTCCTGATCTGACCAGAATCGATCAGTTGGTCAGACTGATCTGGCGTGAAGCCCCAGGAAGCCTTGGACCTTACATTAAGATGTACCTTGACTCTTATGTGTTAAGAGGTGTTTCTTAAACACTAAAGCTTGATGTATTTTAATAACCCACAGTCTCTTCCTGTGATAGAGCTTCATGGCTAAAATATAAGTTGTATTTTTATTTCATAGTTTGTCATTTGTACTTCTGTTATGAAAAAGTTTAGGAAAGGAAATCAGTGAACATTACATGACTGTCCTTTTTTACAACAAGGGCAGCTTATTCAGCAGAATCAGTCTTGCATCATGGATTTTGTACAGAAGAGATTGGGACAGAATATTTGTTAATTAATACTTTTTTTTGACCACAAAACCCTTCTGTGTCTGCAAAAGTACTGCTAAACAAAGAGGGTTGAAGAAACGTTGTTCATTGTGAATATTTTGCAGAGTTTATTTTTTTGCTATGCAAAGCCACACAGAGTGAACTTACCAAAGATTTTTTGCATGCAGTTTTGACAGAAGTTTCATGTAAGTACAATACTGAACAGCAGTTCTCTAGTGTCTTGCAGACAGAAGATCTTTTGAACAGCATGAAGTACAGGTTGCAGTAGCCCATAACTGGTGGAACAGATTAAAATAAGCTTCAAGCAGCACTGTGTGTGTCTCATGAAGTGACACTAGGACAAAACACCTGAAGTCACCCAGGGAGCATCTGATGAAAACATTCATGACTCTTTCATTGTGGTTGGCTGTAAGGGACTAGAGAAGGGTCATATATTTATGTAAAATATATGAAGCATCATAAATGTATTTACATTACAGAATTTCAAAAGATACTTCTATTCACAGTAGGATTTTTTTTTTCTTTTCCCAGGTTTAACAATCTGTGGGCACAACTGTCTGCTAACTGCTGAATGGATGTCTGCCAGTAAAATTGTGTGTCGAGTTGGACAGGCTAAAAATGACAAGGGAGACATTATTGTTACTACAAAGTCTGGTGGCAAAGGGACTTCAACTGTTTCCTTCAAACTGCTTAAACCTGAGAAAATAGGTATTTTTCTTGTTCAAATTCACATCTGTTTTCTTTGCTAAACAAATTTATGACTGAGTGCCTCTTCAAATAAAATGTACGTTTAAAATTAATCCACCTCAGGACAATCTTCAAGTGTCTAGAAAAAGCAGAGTATATCGATAAAATGTGCAAATATATACACAGATAAACTCATGGTATATGTGAAATTAATCCTCCTATCTCAATATCCTAATAAAACTGTCAATGACTAATGAAAGGTAGCTCTTTATTTTTTTGTAAGAAGTAGCAGTAAACTTCAAAAATTTAAAAATATTCATAACAGATCCAGTAATTACTCTTAAGTGTACTAGATAAATACAAAATATAAACCAGCTCATGAGCTTTACACCTAAATCCTGAGCTGACAGTTAATCCTTTAAAGAAAGTTGAGTCCTCAGTGCTGTTTCTTACTTGTAATTCAAACCATCCTGCAAGATGGAAAGTCTTAAGTATTTCTCACGAGATGCTTAACCATTAAAATGATGTTGCCAAGCAGTCTAGGACCTCTGCTTAATCCAGAATCCAGTCTGAATACCCTCTGGATTGAAAATGTTTATTTCAGAACACCTCCATTGATGAAGTTGGATAGTTATCTTTTCTAACATAGGGGTTCCCACAAGAACTATTTTAGGCTTTTGTTCTCTGCAGTTCAGTGACAGTTAAATAACGCACAATTTCTCCCAAGCTGTACTAAGATCTAATAATAGAAAGGTGAATCAAGTGCAAATGTTACACCACGAAGCTTTTGCTGATGGGAGAGGAGAATTGATATTTTTTTAAAAAGTGTAAGTGTAGGGATGGGGTAGTTTCTGGTGTTGAGTATCTGATGGCTGTGCTAAAGGAGGACATGGCCAAGCGTATGGCTGGCTGCAGTTTTGGCTGAGGGCCAAAGCGTATTGTGCCTCACCTTTACACATTGTCTGTGCTAAGGCTTTGGAAACAAAGTCAGTCCTGTGTCCATTGAGTGATCCACCTTGGCGTGTGGCCAAAGTTCACTTACCTGTTAGTTAGAGAGTGGCACAGAAAGGGATCTTCCCTAAAATATGCAAATAAGACCACCTCTGGGTAATTGCTCATTTTGAAAGTAGTAGATAGCAAGGTTTGGACAGATACCAAAATACCCAGAGGAATGAAAAATACTAATACTCTGTGATCAGGAAAATGCTGTTAATGTACGTGGAACTGTGTGCTCTGTAAGACGTAGCGTGTGATGCCCAGCAATAAATATCTTTTCAGCAGCTATAATAAAATAATTTTGCATAATTGCATCCAGGTTGTTTTGCCATGTATCTTCCAATATATTACCTAGGCATGCATTTTATATTTATCAGGATTTTTCAAATTAATTCAGTATGTTAGAAGTTGATGGTGCTGGACTGCCTGTGTTGTTTTAAGGATCTACGCTTTGTTTTCTCTAGGTATCTTGGATCAGTCTGCTGTCTGGGTGGATGAAATGAACTATTATGACATGCGCACTGATAGGAACAAAGGGATTCCCCCCTTGTCCCTACGTCCAGCTAATCCGCTTGGTATTGAGATAGACAAGTGAGTACCAAATGCCTTTAATCCGCTTTTTTTAGTGGTTTTCTCTATATGTGCCTTTGTGAATTCCAGAAAAGTTTAACGGTGTACAGGGCAGGGGAAGATTTAAAAATACATACATATATTAGCTGTTGGTATGCTGTATGATACTCAAAAGAGTTGTTGGTGCACGTTCTGTCCTGCTTCATAATCCTCATTTTTGGATCATCAATTAGAACTGTAGATAATCTAAAAGCTTGATCTATTGAACCCCACTGATGTTTAGATTTTGAGGGCTGGTAAGTAACCTAAGGCTTTGGATTTATACATTGTAGTTATGGAATACTTACTGTTGCAGTTGAGTTTCATGAGGCTTTTAAGGCTGTTTAGATTGCTATCTGTTGCTAAAATTGCACTGTAAAATGTGATATATTATACCACATCAACCAGTTTATTTTATTGAAATATTAATGCTGTTTTCGAACCCACAGACTTCTTTACTCTTGTTCATAAGTATGGTGGAATTTATGGCATTTTTTTCTGAAACAAAAACTTTATAGTGAGTGACAAATGGAATTAGAGGGCTTTAAATGGGACACTCAGGGCTCCAAACCTGACCAACTCCTAGAAATAGCATCAGGAATAATATTTGTCTTGATCAAGATACCAGCTCTACCAAAACCAAAGGCTGTTTAACATTAAACTGTTACTAGGGGTCTCATCTGCTGAATAATCTGTTTGCGAGGAGGAGTGCACTGGAGAAAATCTACAGTGTCCATTGTTACCTTGTTCTCATGGGGAAACTGCACTTTCCCAAAATCTGTGTGGGATTTCTAGTAGATCCACCATTAGCTTCCCAGCCTCTGGCTGTGCATTTCTTTCCTACTTTGAATATGTATTTTTCTTTCATTTCAAAATGCTAACCCAGTTTTTTGGTAACAAGCTGAAGATTTATCTCTGAGGTTTTTTTTCTCCAGACTCTGATGTAACTTCTGATAGATACTTCTTTCATCTTCTCCAATTTTCCAACCGTGTTAAAATGTCGGCTCCAGGACTGTGGACAGTATTCCAGTGTCTTACCAGAATTCCTGTCTCTCCTCTGCTCTCCCTCCCTGTTTGTAAATCTAAAAAAAAAAAAAATAAAATTCTTTTTACCTTAGTGCTGTTGTGGCTTGTTAGCCAATTATCTTAAGTTGCTGGTTTTGCTGCTGGCATGGTCGCTTATTATTCTGTAGGGATGTCCTGGATTCCTTTATCCTAGCTCTATCTTTTTGCATTTGACAATGTTTCTCTATTTGTTGCTTCTTTGACAAGTCCATCTTCTCAGTCCAGATGACAGTTCTCTTAGTATTTTTACCAACTATTTATAAAAAATTATTGGTGATAAAGCTGTTACTGGTGATGATGCAAATACTGATGAAAGTGTGTTGTGGGCTTTAATAAAACTTTACCTACAGATGTTCTCAGGTTTGCTTCTCCATAGGTTGAAACTTTTTTTTGTAGTTCTTTAATCCATGTGATGTATTCCATTGGCATGGCATAAAACTAAGTTTTTAATCAATCTTATGGTAGCAAGTCTCTTTTAAAATTACAATATATTAATTTTGTCTGGTTACTTTTTTCAGTTAAGTACTTAATCTCAAAGTTTATATAATATGTTCTCAAACATTGTATGAAACAGTTGTGATTGCCTGACGTTAAAACTAATTTTCTCTGCTTTAATTCTGTACTTATTGAACCCTGCAACAGCTTTTCCATTATTTTATCTGGGATTTAAGTCAAGATAACTAGTTCTGTTGCATAGTCCTCTATCTATATGTATCTCACAATACTTCCTTCTGTAAATACGATGGTTTTGACAGTTACTTTTACTTTGTTCTTATTTTAACAAAACTTCTAATGTAGTATTTGACTTCATAACCAAAATTGATAATTCTTACAGTTAAGGCAGTGTCAATGTGATAGATAAGGTTTCTGGAAGATAAATCTTTAACAGCATTAGCTTAGGATTTGTTTAATTTAGAGTCATCTGTTTGGGTGTTTGTTAAATAGGAAACCAACAATCTTTACATTTTACAAGTTTCATCTGAAAGCATTAGAAAATATCATAGTAATGAAACCACAGATTTTGTGTGAAAAAGAAATAAGTCAGTGATATGTGAATAGAGATATGAAATAACTTTTTTTTTTTTTTTTGGTGAGGGGGGAAATAGGGAAATGTTTGGGCAAGCATAATATCAAGCCTAGTTGATTGTTCATTGATCTCCAAGTTCCTTAGAGGTGAAGCATGAAGGTGATGGCAAGCACTGGTCAGTATAACAAGTAATTGTGTAGAGGGATTGAGGGGTAAATTGTGGAGAGGGAAGAGAGAGAGAAAGAGAGGAAAAGCCTGGTCTACCCTCGTGCTGTAGGTGTGACAGCACAGTGTTAATAGTTGTGATAATAGATGGAATGTTCTGTGTTTAAAAAGTGCCCCACCAATGGAAAAGGCTTCATAATTTGCTTGAAAAATTGGAACAATACAGTGTTGACTTTCATAAAATAATCTCTAATACCATATAGTTTAACTGAACTCACATGTTTGCAAATATTTGATGCATGGGATGGGTAAGTAATGAGAAGTTGCACAAGGTAGTGAAAAAAGGCAATTATAAATCAAGAAAGGGAGTGGATAAGCAAGATATTAGCATTAACTGTTACTAGGTATGGGAATAATTTGTCAACAGAATTAGAATTTTGAGATGCTTTAAAATAAGAGCCTAATACGAAGAATAGTTTTGGATAAAAGGAGATGGGACTGCAGCATTAATACCTTTTGGCTTCTTTAAACTATTTTAAAATGTGCGCAAGTTGAGATGTATTTTAATTTTTAAGTGGAAGTGTTTGGCACGGGTATGACTTCGTGGGATTTACAACACTTGTACCCTGATGGCTGATAAGCAAGGTAAAGGAGTGCCTTGTATTGGTTATGCAAATAATGGTAAATGTTTAAAGAGAGGACCAGGGACAAAACCAATGAAAAATAGATGTGAGAAAATAGGATAGTAATAAGCTAGCTGGGAGCATGCCGAAGAGAAGGCAGGAAGTGGATCAACTACAGGCTGAAAGAAAGAAGTCCTCCCTCTAGAAAGTGTGTGTCAGTCATCAGCGAAT